GCTTCGACTTGATGGCATGAGCCACGGGCGACTTAATATCGTGGTATAATCAGTGAAGATTAGAGGGATTAGTTTCCTTAACAACGGGATAGAATTCATCATAAATTGAAGTCAGTCTCACAATGAAGCAAAGTTTATTTTTTTTACAAAATTTTAATTATCTTCGTCTTTTGTTGCCAGATATGAAACCTTCGGCTTAAATTTTGTTTACTGGCTTGAATCGCACATTTAAAGTTTGTAAAATATGTGTTTAGATGGAGGGCTTTTTTAAGTATTATAAAATGGAGCGATTAAATGACTAAAATAAGATGCGAGATAGACCCAGATGAAAACATGATTAACACCAAGAACGCCCAGACTTTCAATGCTGAGTTGTCGAATATTACTGAGATACAGCTACACGTTACGCCAAAGGAGCTACATTGAAATAGGATTAAAATTGGTCAGATTGGTTGCAGATCACCGTTGTAATATGGTTTTGTTTTTCTTCAGCAATTTGTTTTTTAGCCAGTGTCGTATGCGTTCGCTTTCGGCTGTTCCGAGACATAAAGAGCACTTCAATTTCCTCGATGTTGTAACCTTTGGTCTCGGGAACACAAAAGTAAAAAAAGACAAACGCAAAGCATGTTATACCGCCGTAGATGAAAAACGCACCTGCAAAATACACATCTCTGAATGTTTTTTTAACTCGGCTTTTTCCAAAAAGTTAACCTCATACTCAGCAACTTTGACTTTTCTGATCGGAACATTCTAAGCTAATCACTTTTAAAACAATTTTTTGTGCGTTCATAAGACAAAAAAGCGGTGAGGCAGGACTGTATGTGAATATGTGTGTGTGTGTGTGTGTATGTGTGAACAGCCTATTTCAAATGAAAGCCAGAAAGTTAAAAGCTTAGAACTTAAATTCAGGGCTTGCTTCACTTGAAAATTCGGTGCGAATTCGCATTTGAACGTAGGTCAAGGAGCAGCTATGTTAAATAATTGGGCAACGCACGGGCTACCCTTGCGAAGGTACGTTTTTTGCATAGCTCCCCGCAGGTTTTTTTTGATAACGGCACTGGTTTTTCCGGCAGATGCTTCTAGCTAAAAGAATTTCAGACTGGCCGCCAGGACTGTTAGGGAACGTCCTTTCAAAATTCCAGTCTTCTAGTTTCTCAGATTCCCGAGTTAGCAACTTATCCGAAAAAACTTTGGCAGGCCTGTACATGGGTACCACGCTTACCTGGAGGCTGGGTTTGAGCTCATTAATACTCACTTGGAAGAGGAATGTCCCCTTAAAATTACAGCCTCCCAGCATTTCTGGTTCCCGAGTTAGCAGCCTACCCGCAGAAGACTTTAGCGGGCTCATACGTGGGTACCACGCGATAAGAGCATCCATTTTTGGGATGGAGGCCCTACATGCATATAGATTAAGTTCCCAAAATTTCAGTCCGTACCTTTTGCAGGTCTCGAGATGAGAAATCGGTACAGACGAACACACAGACACGCACTCACGCAGACAAACCCTCGTCAAGATGCGTCTTCTGCATTGTATAGCTGCGAAAAAAACATAAAAATTTAGCGCAAACTACTTAATTCGCTATGAACTTCAAAACTTCATGTTTCTGTCTTATCCTCCTTAAAATACAAAATTAACTTAGATTTGAACGACTTCAATAATTTGAAGTAAAATGAGGATTGCAATTTTTTCTCAAGCTATTTG